TTTTGATGAGAAAATAAATGCTGAATTAACTTTCATATTCAAAATAGCTAGTAATTAATTAATATTTTAGAATGATTTTTGATGAGAAAATAAATGCTGAATTAACTTTCATATTCAAAATAGATGGTAATTAATTAATATTTTAGAATGATTTTTGATGAGAAAATAAATGCTGAATTAACTTTCATATTCAAAATAGGTTGTAATTAATATTTTAGAATGATTTTTGATGAGAAAATAAATGCTGAATTAACTTTCATATTCAAAATAGTGGGTAATTAATTAATATTTTAGAATGATTTTTGATAAGAAAATAAATGCTGAATTAACTTTCATATTCAAAATAGCACGTAATTAATTAATATTTTAGAATGATTTTTGATGAGAAAATAAATGCTGAATTAACTTTAATATTCAAAATAGATAGTAATTAAAATTTTAGAATGTTTTTTAATATGAAAGTAAAATGTAAATATAAAATAGTGAGTAAAATTGAATAAGAGTTCATAACATAAATTTGAGAATAAAATATACTTTTGAAAAACAGATGGTAATTATTAGTAGAAGATAAATAAGATAGATGGAAAATAAATTTACTTTTGAATATACAGCGAGTAATATTTTAAAAGAATAATTTTGATAGATAATCTTATTAAAATATATAAAATAGATAGTAATATTTTTGAAAAATAGTAATGTAGAAGTAAGAATTAATTAATTACTAATACTATGAAAACAGTGAGTAAGAGTTATGAAAATAATTTGAAAAATGTGAGTAACTAACTAAATATGTTAATTCTAAACTAGATTGTAAAATATTATAGCAATATAAAAAGAAAATTAAAAAAATAAAAAATAAAAATAGATTGTAAAATTTTAAATAATTTTGGATGAAATACAATAAAGAAATGTAAATATAAATTTAATTAAAACAGCTGGTAATAACTAATCCTATTAAGAAACCAAAATATGAATATCTATTACTTGCTTATTTATAAATAAAGTAAAATTATTTATAAGAAAAATATATTTTATTACTGAACATTTGAATAAAATAAAAAGGGTATAATACTTTGAAAGAATTTATCACCGAAGAAAGAGCAAAATTCAATGAAAATTTATAAAAATATTAGAAAGTATAATTCTTTTTTTTAAATAAATTTTTTATTTCAATTAAATTGAAAAATTTAATTTCAAAAAATAATAAAATATAAATCATGTTTTGCTTTTAAAAAGTGATGAGCCACATAGTATTTGTTAGATTCTGGCAACACAGTTTAAGAAATCAGGAATGCTCTTTTTTGTTTGTTTGTCTGTTTGTTTGTTTATTATTAATAAAATAATTGCTTGAATTATTATTAACAAATATTAAAAATAATATGAATTTGTGAAATATATTTTTATGTTTCTATATTGATCGTAGCTTCAACTTTTAATTTCTTTTTTTTTTAAACATGAAAAAAAAAATCAATAATTTATTAAGATTTTATTTTAAAATATTTTTTATTAACTAATTAAGTAGTAGTAAACAATTATATTTAATTTTTTTTAATTTATTCAAGTTTTCATTTAAAATTCCATTTTTTTTTTTGAGGCTAGAAAATAATTTCAATATTGATGTTATTGAAGTAAGTATAGTATTAATGGCTTAAAAAATTTAAATAATCCTAATTTTGCAAATAAAAAATTTCCATTCAAAGTATATTTATTTATTAAGGATCTAATTTCAAGTTATAAATTTAAAAATTGTAAAATTTAAGTTTTAACATTTATTATTATGCTAATAAGTTATTTATTATTTGTTTAGTTTTAGTTAATAAAATTAAAGTTTATAAAAAAGTAAAATATTTGATCTCTTTCACCATCTTCTTCTTCTTTTAAAATGAATTGATTTAAATAATATACCGTAAATACTCTATCTTAAGCTGATTCAAATTTAATTAAGACTGTGTTCTAATTTAAGCTCGTTCTTTCCAGCCAATTTAGTAGAATTTAGATCTTAATTCAAATTTTTGTTCTAAAATTTTACAGTAGCTTGACTAGCATCCAATTCTTCTTTCTCAAATTCTATTTCTAGATAGTAATTAATATTTTAGAATGATTTTTGATTAGAAAATAAATGCTTAATAATTTTTCATATTTGAAATAGAGCGTAATTAATAAATTAGAATTTTATTTTACAAGAAAATAAATACTAAGTTAATTTTCATATTCAAAATAGTCAGTAATTAATATTTTAGAATCATTTTTGATTAGAAAATAAATGCTAAATTAACTTTTATATTCAAAATAGAAAGTAATTACTATTTTAGAATGATTTTAGATTATAAAATAAATGCTGAATTTAATTTTTTATTCAAAATAGCTTGTAATTAATATCTTAGAATGATTTTTGATGAGAAAATAAATGCTGAAATAACTTTCATATTCAAAATAGGGAGTAATTAATATTTTAGAATTATTTTTGGAGAAAATTAATTCTGAATTAACTTTATTATATAAAATAAACAGTTAGTAATTAATATTTTTGAATAATTTTTGCCGAGAAAATAAATGCTGATAAAACTTAAATATTCAAAATAGTCAGTAATTAATATTTAAGAGTGATTTATTATGAAAAAATAAATTATATATTAACTTTCTTACTCAAAATAGCACGTAATTAATATTTTCGAAAAATATTTTACTAGAAAACAAATGCTTAATTAACTTTCACCTTCAAAATAGATAGTAATTAATACTTTAGAATGATTGTTGATGAGAATATTAAATTAACTTTAATTATCAAAATATAATAATATTTAGAATGATATTTGATGAGAAAATAAATGCTGAATCAAGTTTTATATTCAAATTAGCCTGTAATTTATATTTTGAGTGATTTTTGATAAGAAAATAAATGCTGAATTAACTTTCATATTCAAAATAGGAAGTAATAAATATTTGATAATGATTTTTGATGTAAAAATAACTACTGAACTAACTTTTATATTAAAAATAGCACGTAATCAATATTTTAGGATGATTTATATTGAGAAAATAAATGCTAAATCAACATTCATTTTCAATATAATCGGTAATTAATATTTTAAAATTATTTTATACAAAAAATAAACTAAATAAACTTTCATATTCAATATAAGGAGTAATTAATATTTTAGAATAATTTAGATGAGAAAATAAATGATGAATTTACTTTCATATCCAAAATAGGAAGTAATTAATATTTTATAAATATTTTTGATGAGGTAATAATTGATCAATTGATTTTCATATTCAAAATAGAGCGTATTTAATATTTTAGAAAGATTTTTGATGGGGAAATAGATGCTTGATTAACTATCATATTCAAAATAGGATGTAATTAATATTATGGAATTATTTTTAAAAAATAAATGCTGAATTAATTTTCATATTCAAATTAAAAAGCAAGTAATTAATATTTTAGAATAATTTTTGATGAAAAAATAAAATTCTAAATTAATTTTCATATCAAAATAGGGAGTATTTAATATTTTGCAATGATTTTTGATGAGAAAATAAATGCTTAATTAAAATTCAAAATAAAAATAGGATGTAATTAATAATTTAAAATAATTTTTGAAGAGAAAATTAAATGATGAATTTACTTTAATATTCAAAATAGTCTGAAATTAATATTTTAGAATGATTTTAGATGATAAAATAAATGCTGAATTATTTTTCCAATACAAATTAGAAAGTAATTAATATTTTAGAATGATTTTTGGTGAGAAAATAAATACTGAAATAACTATCATATTCAAAATAGTCAGTAATTAATTAATATTTTAGAATGATTATTGAAGAAAAAATAAAAGCTAAATTAATATTCATATTTAAAATAGGCAGTAATTTATATTTTAGAATGATTTTAGATGATAAAACAAACGATGAATTAATTTTCCAATACAAATTAGAAAGCAATTAATATTTTAGAATGATTTTTGGTGAGAAAATAAATACTGAAATAACTTTCATATTCAAAATATTCGGTAATTAATATTTTAGAATGATTTTTGAAGAAAAAATCAAAACTAAATTAATTTTCATATTTAAAATAGGGAGTAATTTATATTTTAGAATGATTTTAGATGATAAAATAAATGCTGAATTAATTTTCAAATACAAATTAGAAAGTAATTAATATTTTAGAATGATTTTTGGTGAGTATATAAATACTGAAATAACTATCATTTTCAAAATAGCATGTAATTAATATTTTTAGAATGATTTTTGATAGAAAACAAATGCTGAACTAAATTTCATATTCATAATAGCTTGTAATTAATATTTTAATTGATAAATATGAGAAAATAAAAGTACAATTAACTAACTAATTCAAAATAGGAAGTAATTAATATCTTAGAATTATTTAATGAAAAAATAAATTCTTAATTAACTTTAATATTTAAAATAGGATGTAATTAATATTTAAGAATGATTTTTTGATGAGAAAATAAATTCTGAATTAACTTTCATATTCAAAATAGCACGTAATTTATAATTTAAAATGATTTTTGAAGAGAAAATAAATGCTGAATTAACTAACTTTCATATTCAAAATAGTGGGTAATTAATATTTTAGAATGATTTTTGAAGAGAAAATAAATGCTGAATTAACTTTCATATTCAAAATAGCCTGTAATTAATATTTTAAAATTATTTTTGATAAGAAAATAAATGCTGAAATAACTTTCATATTCAAAATAGGGTGTAATTAATAATTTAGAATGATTTTTGATGAGGAAATAAATGTTGAATTAACTTTCATATTCAAAATAGTTGGTAACTAACATTTTAGAATCGTTTTTGATGATAGAATAAATGCTGAATTAACTTTTATATTCAAAATAGTCTGTAATAAAAATTTTCAAAAGATTTTTGATGAGAAAATAAAAGCTGAATTAATATTCATTTACAAAATAGGATGTAATTAATATTTTAGAATGATTTTTGATGATAAAATTAATGCTGAATTAACTTTCTTATTAAAAATAAATAGTATGTAATTAATATTTTAGAATGGTTTTTGATGAGAAAATAAATTCTATAATATCTAAAATAGTGGGTAATTAATATTTTAGAATTATCTTTGATGATGAAATAAATGCTGAATTAATTTTCGTATTAAAAATAGCGTGTAATTAATAATTTAGAATGATTTTAATGAGAAAATAAATACTGAATTAACTTTCATATTCAAAATAGGGTGTAATTAATAATTTAGAATTATTTTTGATGAGAAATTAAATGCTGAATTAACTTTCATATTCAAAATAAATAGAGTGTAATTAACTTTTAGAATGATATTTTTTGATGAGGAAATAAAAGCTAAATTAATTTTTATATTCAAAATAGTGGGTAATTAATATCTTAGAATTATTTTTGATGAGAATATAAGCACTTGAATTCACTTTCATATTCAAAATATAGATAGTAATTAATATTTTAGAATGATTTATTTTAGATGAGAAAATTAATCTTGAATTAACTTTCATATTCAAAATAGTAAGTATTTAATATTTAAGAATTATTTTTGATGACTTGAATTAACTTTCATTTTCAAAATAAATAGAGTGTAATTAACTTTTAGAATGATTGTTTTTGATGAGAAAATAAATGTTGAATTAACTTTCATATTAAAAATAGCGCGTAATTAATATTTTAGAATGATTTTTAATGAAAAATTAATGCTGAATTAACTTTTGTATTCAAAATAGAGAGTAATTAATATTTTAGAATGATTTTTGATGAGAAAATAAATGCTGAATTAACTTTCATATTAAAAATAGAGCGTAATTAATATTTTAGAATTATTTTTGATGAGAATATAAGTGATGAAATTAACTCTCATATTCAAAATATAGATAGTAATTAAACTTTTAGAATTATTTATTTTTGATGAGAAAATAAATGCTGAATTAACTTTCATATTCAAAATAGGGTGTAATTAATATTTAAGAATTATTTTTGATAAGAAAATAACTGCTGAATTAACTTTTTTATCTTCAAAGTCGTCAGTAATTAATATTTTTTTATGATTTTTGATAAGAAAATAAATACTGAATAAACTTTTTTATTCAAAATAGTAGGTAATTAATCTTTTAGAATGATTTTGAATGAAAAAATACAAGCTGAATTAATAATATACATCGAGTAATATTTTAGAAAAATAATTTTGATAGAGAATCTTATTAAAATGTATGAAATAGACAAATATTAAATAATTTTGGATGAAATAAATCAAGAAATCTAAATCTAAATTTAATTTAAACAGATGGTGGTAATAATTAATCCTATTAAACCTATATATGAATATCTTCTACTTGCTTATTTATAGAGAAAGTAAAATTCTTTATAGTAAAAATATAATTTTATTTACAACCTTTGAATAAAATTAATAGGGTATAAGCCATTAAAATATTTTATCACAAAAGAGCAAGGCTAAAGTACATTTATATAAATATTAAAATGTAATTATTCTTTTACAAATAAATTTATAATTTTCATTTAATTGAAAAAATTAATTTAAAAATCATTTATTTTGCTTTTAAAAAGAGATGAGTCACATAATATTTGTTAGATTCAGGACACAATTTAAAAAATCAGAAAAACACTTTTTTGTTTGTTTTTTAGCTGGTTAATTATAAATAAAATAATTGCTTGAATTATTATTAACGAATATTATAAATAATATTACTATGTGAAATATATTTTTATATTTTCTATTTTGTAGCTTAAACTTTTAAATTCTTTTTTTTTTTTTAAACATGAAAAAAAACAATTTTATTTTTAAATATTTTTTATTAATTGGTTAAATAACTTAACTTAGTAAACTATTATTTTTAATTGTTTTTTAATTGAATTGAGGTGTTGATTTAAAATTCCTTATTTTTTTAATTAAGAAAACAATTTCAATATCGATATTTTTTAAGTATAGCATCAAATGCTTAAAAACTCTGATATTTCTTATTTTGCAAATTATAAATATCCATTCAAAGTATATTTGTGACCCAAATTCAAGTTATAAGCTAAATATAGCTGTTCTTGTTTCTAAAATTTTGCAGATCAGATATATGTATGTAATCAGCAGAATTTTTTTAAATATTTATATATAAATGACTAAATGAAATGCATTTTTTTTCTTTTCTTTTTTACCAGAATTTATCTAAGAGATAATGCTATTCTAGGATAATTATTTATCTAGTAGGTAATAAATATTTAGTAGAATAATAAAAAAGGGTATCAAAGTAAATAGAACAAACAATCAAAAAAAAGTATTTAATCAAAGATTTAAATACTACAAAAATTATGAGTGTAAATAATTTTTTATTAGAAAAGGCTCCCCTTTTAACCATAGATTTGTTTATAATTTATTTGCTCCTATCTCTGGGGTAGTAATGTATCAGTAGTATTGGGTGGTAAATACAAAATTTCATATATAATTTTATATATAAATCTTTCTTTAGATCATTAAATTTATGAGCTTCAAAATTATCTAATAATAGAAGTCCTTTTTATCTAATGGAAGAGAAGTTGTGTAAGGTTTTGTAATTTCTTAAAACATATTTTAAAATAAAGCTTTCTCTAAAAATTAAAGTTAGTTACGGGAGAATAATTTGATATTCTTAGGAATATAATCCAAAATCTATTTTATACCCTTAGTTGGATAAACAATAAATTAATTAATATTTTAGAATGATTTTAACCAGAAAATAAATACTGAATTAACTTTTATTTTTAAAGTAGCATGTAATTAATTATTAAGAGAGTTTTTTGATGAGAAAATAAATGATGACTTTCATATTCTAAATAGTTGGTAATTAATATTTAAAAAGATTTTTTTTGATAATTAAAATAGAAATAGCAAGTAATAGTTTAAAATACCTTTAAAGATTATTAAACTATTAATTAAAATTATAGTTTAAATAAAAATAAGTAAATAAAATAAGGAAAAATATATTTATAGTTATACAAAATAATAAAACATTAATTTGGGTGTAAATAATTCATAAAATTATTTTAGAAAAGAAAATATTATATTAAATAAATAAATCTATTAGGATGTACTGTCCTCCCTCTTTAATAAGATGTCTTTTTTAAGAAGATAATTATCTATTTTTGAAAATAATTATTTTTCATTTAAATTATTCAAAAATCAATTTTCTAAATTTATGATATATAATTTGTAATTACTGTTCTTTCGTTAACTATTTCATAATTTATTGATAAAATAAATATTAATATAAATTATACAATTAAAAAAAGTAAAGATAAAATAAGTTATTATGGAAGTTGAAACTAATTCATATCTAAATTTTTAAATAAAAGAATATTACAATTTTGTTGAATATTTTTTTTTAATTGGAAATATCATACTCTTATATTATTTTAGCCTCCATATAAGATCTATACTTTTGATGATGATCATTTTTAAAGCATATCGAGATTAAAGCACTAAAATTGAAAGATTTAAATTAGAAGATGTCTTTTTTGAGAGAATAATAGTAATTTTTTCATTTTTATTCATTGAGTTTCCTTTTTATTAGAATATCAAAAGTATTTCATATTTCTATTAGACTGTAAATTTTTATATTTATTTCTTAAAAGATTAAATGTATTTTATTTTATTATATCAATAAGAGGGTAATATTTTCATCTTATAGCAGACCTTCTTCAAGTTTTTTAGATCCTTAAAAACAAGTAAATTTTCTAAAATTTTTATAATTATAAGATTTTCACAATCAACTTATAGAATTAAAATAGGAAGTATTTAATATCTTAAAAATATTTTTGATGATAAAATAAATGCTGAATTTACTTTCATATTAAAAAAAATAAGTTTAATTTTGAATATACAACCAGTAATATTTTAGAAGAACAATTTTGATAGATAATCTTATTAAAATGTATATAAATATATTTGATAGTTATATTTTTTTAAGATGTTTTAATGTAGAAGTAAGAATTAATTATAATATGAAAACAGTGAGTAAGAGTTATAAAAATAATTGGAAAAATATGATTAGCTAACTAACTATGTTAATTCTATACTAGACTGTAAAACATTTCGATGATTTAAAATAATGTTTAAAAAATAAAAATTAATAATAGATTGTAATATTTTAAATAATTTTGGATGAAATATAATCAAGAAATGTAAATATAAATTTAACTAAAATAGCTTTTAATAATTAATCATATTAAGAAACCAACTTTTGAATATAAAACTTACTTATTTTTTAAGAAAGTAAAATTATTTATAAGAAAGCATATTTTATTACTAAACCTTTTAATATAATAAATAGTGTATAACACATTAAAAGAGTTTATCACAAAAGAGCAAGATTAAATAATATTTATAAAAATATTAGAAGGTATTTTACTTTTTACAAATAAATTTAAAAAAATAATCAAATATAAATGCAACACAATTATTGAAATCAAAAATGATCTTTTTTGTTTGTTTTTTTTTGCTTGTTTATTATAAATAAAATAATCACTGGAATTAATTAATTAATAAATAAATATTAAAAATAATATGAATTTGTGAAATGTATTTTTATGCTTTATATATTGTATTTCAATTTCATTTTTTTTAAAATGAAAAAAAACAATAGCTAAGATTTTATTTTTAAATAAAACGTCTAAAATTGAAAAAATGGTTAACTATAATACTGGGTTTGTATTTTCATTATCCTTTATATTCTTTGATTAATAAATTAAGTATTCAAATTAATTTATTTGCATCAAAAGGATAAAAGGCGTATGGATAAGGAGACTGTAGACAAGGTTAGCTTGGTACTGGAAGGATAGTAATTGATTATTTTCCTGCTGAAATACCTCTTCCTTCATTCGAAGGACATCTAAAATAAGTCAGTTATGGTGATAATCACACGCTTTTTCTAACAGACTAAGGCGAAGTATTTGCTTGTGGTAACAACTCTATTGGTTAACTAGGAACTAGTTAAATCGAGTCTTTATCTAACTAAAATTCGCATAAAATAATAACAACAAATATCTTCTAATATTTATAATTCTAGAATTATTATTTTTTTAGAGAAAATTAAAATAAAATTAATAAAATATTTTTTTTTAAATGAAAATTTAATTTTATAATTTATTGTTTATTTCATTTCTTTGTTTTGTTAATTTTGAATATTTTTTTAGGTATGTTTGGGGCACAGCTTTCTTTGGATATTTTGATGAACCATAATTTATTTAGGCTGATGGCATTTTTTGGAAAGGATTCACTTAAGAGAATAATTTTATTTGTCTGACAGATGATTAAGGAAAAGCTTATTCTTGGGGATAAAATATCAATGAAGAATTAGCTTTAGGATTGTATCCAAGTCATCAATAATAAGCTTATCCTTAAGAAATTCAAATAAATATGGAAGATAAATATGTTAAGAAAATAGAATGTGGATAACACTTTTCATTTGCTGTATTGTCGAATCTATAAAATATTGTAAATAATTTAATGCTTGCTGAGCAAATCAACTAATTTTCTTAGTAAATTTAAAAATTCTAAAGCGATTATCCTTCTGTTCTAAACAAGAATTAAATATAAGAAAATAATCAAGAAAATTAATTTAATTTTAATACTAATAATTATTAATAAACTGATTAGATTCAATAAAAAAGGTAAGTATCAACAGTAGCTTTAGCCAGAATATTTTATAAATAGATTCATTAGAAGAATAAAATAAAGTTTTCGATAGAAGCATAAGAGCTTGCTTAAGTAATTGCTAAAATGGATAACAATAAGAAAATTTAACAAAAGAAGAATTTAAGATTAAATACCCAAGGTAATAATGCTTTAATTGAAAGGTGCGAAACAGAATAGGTTAAGCAGATGTCAAATAAAAACTAAGGAGTGATCAAATTAGATCAAATTTTACCAAATTATTTTACTAATCACAGAGTTCTTACTGAATCAGCAGACTTTTCTGTCAATAATATCAATAGATTCTAAAGTAATTAATAAGTTAATGTTGTAAGTTAAAGCATCCCTGGCAATTTCAAGCTAGAAGCTATGCAAAGTAACCTAATTAATATGAAGCATAATGAATCTATTCAGTTAAGTTAACCTTATAAAAATTAAAATTAAAGTATCGATAATATAATAATTTAGATTAAAATATTTTAAATTTAAGTGAAATTGCATTTAATTAATCAGAAGTATTGAAAGAAAACAATTCTAATTTATAAAATAATTGTTAACTATAAAATGAATAAATGACATGGTTAAAGGATGTCTTTGACAAAACATCTCAAAGCTTTTATTAACAACAAAAACAAATAAACAGCCAAATTCAATATTCTTAAAACAAAATTGATCATCTACAATAATAAAATTACTCATTTGTGGGAAAAATCCAAGACATTCAATTAAAATATTATTTTATCTAAAAGAAGTTAGAACAATCCTAATAAGAAAACAAATCGCTTAAAAAATAGCTCTCAGAAGAAAAAAATAAAAATGTAAAATTATAAATTAGAGTTGATCACCTCACAAAAAAAAGCAAATCATTACAAAAGAAAAATGAACTACTACTCCTTGAAATAGATATGAACAAAAAAACCTACGAGATGAAGTGTGAAGCTTTGCTCAAATAAATTTATAATTATCAAAGTTTAGAAACAATTTAAGATAAAGGTAATTAATAGCAGCTTAATTAAATAAATCAGCAATATGAAACTCTACTTGAAAATTTCATAACGATTAATGAAAATGGATAAAACAATAATGCCCTTGATACTTCCTATTCCTAAGTGAAAAACATGCAGACGTTTGCTGATCCGGTAGATGATAAACAAAACATTTAAATGTAAAAAATATTGTTTATTTATTATTTAATTTATTCTTTATATTTCTAATATAAAAAAAGGAACAACTAATTTGTAAAGTAAGAAAATAATTCGAAGCTTTCTAGCCAGTTTTAAAGCAGCAAAGTATCTGTTTCACAGGATTTTATAAATTTAATCCATAATAACGAATAATATCAAAATAATTAATATAACATCATTGATATGAAAGACCTCCAAATTTAAATCAACCCTTCAAGCCCTTTTTCTAATTCAAACGCATCAAAAAAGCTAACAATGAAACTAAATTAACTGAGCTTGATTAATAGAAATAATTAGCCATATTAAATTAATGAAGATTTATGATAAATATTCAATACTAAAATTACTCTTTATGTATTTATTTTGTAATGAATTTAAATAAATGGCTTTGCTTATCAGATATCTTAATTAATTCATGTATATATGTATGTGTATATATTTATATACTTGTTTTACACAAGCATATATATATGAATTGCTTACTCAATACAATAAAATAACATTAATATACTTATTTATAATAGAATAAAATTTATTATTATATATATATTTTAATCAATAGAGCTAATTTAAACTTCACGCTCTTTTTGATTATATTGCTATTCTTAAATCATTATTTTTCTATTATGAAATAAATAAATATTTAGTAGAATAATAAATATTAAAAAGTAAATTCAAAGAAAATTTAAAGTAATAAAAAAGGTATCGAAATAGGTTTCGAACCTGAATAAACAAAAAAGTAAAAAATTTTTAGGTTTTTTGAAAAAAATAGAAAACCCTGATTATAACCTCTTCGCTTATTTTTTTACTCATAGTGTTAGTATTCATAATTAAAATTTAAGAATTTATTTTTCATCCATATTGTATTGTTTTTTGACTATTCAATTATTCCATTCAAATATTTAATTTGGTGTAAGCTAGATTAATTATGACAGAAATGCGTTTTCTTTTAAATAAAACTCTACTTAAAGAAAAATCAAACAGATATTTAATCAAAAAAAGGAGGAAAATTAAGATTCTATTAAATATTCTAATAGCTCACTATTTATTATTTTGATATAGATAGAAGACCATTTCTTGTAATAAAAAGAATACTTAGGGGATAGAAGGTTTCATAACTAAACTTTGCTAAAATAGTTGCATATTTAACTATATAAATACTCTTATAATTAAATAAAGCATGTGAAAAGTAGCTTTTTTTGTAATTTATTTGCCATATTCAAAAAAAGACATAAATTTGCACTATATTAATATTACGAGTAAAATGGATATTTCAGTAAAAAATAGATCTTATTTACATATTATTTTTACTATTAGAGTAGTTTTAACGTACAAAAAAATATTAACTTAGCTATCTTTTGAGCATATTTTTCAAGTTATTGGCACTACATATCAAATATATATTTATTATCCACAAATCCTTTATTCAAGAATAAATTTTTTGTGGAAACTTCAAAGAATATGAATACTATTTATATTTTACCTACTTTTTGTTGTTTTTATAAAAAATGGTGAGGTATTTTGTCTAATATACATTTGTTATTGTATTTATTTCAACAATTACATATTTGCTTTGTTGATTGGCTCTCAATATTAAAAAATAAGATAATGCTTGACCATATTTAAATTTTATTTATAAAAGAAAAGGGTCTTTTAATAAGTTCTAGTTTAGAAAGTAGGCACAAAAATGTTATTATATATTTATAGTTCTAAATTTTATTGTATTTTAGAGCAGAATTTACAAAAATTTTGACATCTAAGCTTCATTTATTTAATGATCTATGTTTTAAATTATATTTTGGTTTTGCTACTTTAAAATTATTGTGCCATTTATTCATATTTTTACTATTAAGAAAACATAGAAAAATATTAATGATAAATATTATTTAGCTTAAACTAGTAAACAAAATAGATACCAAATTACTGCAATAATAGCTAACAGCTTAAGTTGTAAGCTTCTTTACTTCATTGTATTATTAAAGCTATGAATTGTTTTTTTGTTTTCTTTCTTTCATTCTTGCTTTATCTTACGTGTTAGTATGCTAACTTTATTTATTATGTCATTTTGCAATATTTTGTGATTGAGATGATGGCAAGTTGGGATATTTAAATCTTATTCATAAAATGATCTAATATTATTTAATGCGTATTTTATTATTGAAATTTTAATATTTCAAATATTATTTTTAGAGATGATTTAATTAATTTACATCAGATTTTAACAAAAAATAATCATTTAAAAACTTAATGAATTTTGTTTATTGGCAAATAATTAATTAATTCAAATTAATTTGTTAGAAAAAAAAATATTGAGACATTAAAAAATGGAAACAATTAGCTAAAATCTTGAAGGATTCTAAGAAGCTAAATATAAGCTTGCATTGCATCTTCAAAACAGGAAAAAAATCAAAGAGATGTACAAAATGAAAGGTGTCTAAATGCTCGATAAACCTGAGTTAGTCAGTAAAAAATGATTAGATTAATATTAATTTTTTATGAATAGATTTATAATTATTAATATTGATAAAACTTGATACATACAATATTATTAAAACTTAAACATTTAATTACTAAAAATATATTCAAGACATCAATTTAATAATTTATCCTGTCTTGATTCTAATCAAATTTAATCTTAATTAACAAAAGTTTCTGATATCTAAGAACCTAAATTAAAGCCTTAATAAGCTTCAGTTTATAAGACTATGAAAAGCGAATTAACTAATAAAGGCTACTCTGATTTTAGGTTTTTAGGATAGGGAGCATAGGGATTAGTTTTGTTAGCAAAGAATTCGAAAACTAAAATGAGGTATGCTATCAAAGGTGTTTAAGTTAGAGATTCTGAAGGAAATATTGACGAAGATCTTAGCAATACAGTGAGATAAGAAGTAGAAATACTTAAAAAATGTGGAGGCTCTCCTTATGTAGTCAGTCTTTTAGATTAATTTGAAGGAAAACAATTCAGTTACTTAGTTCTAACTGAGTGTTAAGGTACAAATATTAATATTCATTTACTTTAAAATTAATGAAACCATTTAATTGAAAGTTTTTAATGCAAAATAAATGTTATAAATAAAAAGGTACTCTCACCTAAATTTTAGAAAGGAACTAAAACAAAAGACTGAATGAAATATCAGCAATCAAATATGCTAATGACATTGCTCAAGGTCTCTACTACATTCACTCTAAGAACTGCCTTGTTAATGATCTGAAAATGGATAATATCTTAATTGATTACCATGGAAATGCAGTTGTTTGTAAATTATTAACAAACACTAACAAGCTTGATTGATTTTCTATAAAATATTTTAAATAGCTGATTTTGGTATGGCAGATAACCTAACATATAAATCTGGCTATGCAATCAATCAATATGTATGAACATATTTTTTTATCAGAAATTAAAGTGGTATAATTATAATAAATTTCAAAAAATGAAAGATGGGAAACTTCTTGTATCAAGCTCCAGAGTGTTATGATCCAGCTGATTCAGATATAGGTAAGGTTTATCATGATGAATATTTAAAATTAGGTGTCAATGTGAGACTATAGCCAAGCAACAGAGTAAATAAATATTTAAAAAAAATTATTTTAATAAAATCAAATTATTATTATGCTTATTAATTTAAACAGAGTGAAGCATGTTCTTTAGGTATTAAATTAAATAAAAAATATAATATTTATTTTTATTTGCATACATTATTAAAAGGATATCTAATTTATACAATGGTCTAGGGAATAAATATTAGTTTAGCATTAAATAAGCACAAGCAATTAAATTATGATGGTGAATTTACAAATTTTGTTTATCACAAATAGCTTAAATATATTATTGAAGGATTAACTAATTTTGTTCCAAAGAATAGAATGCCTATTAAAGAGGCTTTAATTATTTTAAAGGGAATTATTTCTTTTGAATTTTAGTTAGATGACATGCTTATTGAGATGATAGATGGAAACACTCAACAGTTCACAAGTTCACTCAAAAATGAAATTGAGTTTGTTAAAGAATTTTCAAACAAGTTTTATCCAATCATGTATGTTTGTTTATTTTAATCTACTCTTTCGTTAAATTTTTTAAAGTAAAAATGAACAGACCTTAAACTAAGAGTTGAAAGAAGATCATCAAAAAAGATAATATGTTAATTTTTTATTTTTACTCAAAATATCCTCAATTTATTCAAAAAAATTCGTAAAAAAGGAGGCAAAAATAGAAGAATTATAGAAAATAAATCTTTAACTAGAATAAAAAATTAGTGAATAAGAAAAAACAATTAAAGGTTTATTAACCTAATTAGAATAATCTTAAAATTAGTTAATGAATCAACCTTAGATTAAGATGATGCCAACGATGATGAACACGAATTAGTAACATATTATTTTTTAAGAAATTAATAAATAGGAAAAGAAAAGAAAGATGAATTCCCAAGAAAAAAACTAACTTTGAATTCAAGAAATAAGTTTTTAACAGAAACCAATAAAAATATTATTAAAAAGAAAGTATACATTTTTCATCAGTTTACTTCAAAAAAATTAATTAATTTTAATATAATAAAAAATAGCATGTAATTAATTCCTTTCCAAAAGTCATTTATTAACTAAAAAGTTATCATTCAATTAAAAAAATTGAATAGCTAGTAATTTATTTAAATTTATTTGCAAAACCTTAATAATCTTCCATTAAAAATTCTTTAGAAAGTAAATTCCTTCAATTGCTAGAAATTAATATAATATCATATTCCAATAGCAAGTATATTTATCACCCTTTAATTATCCTTTTTAAATTATCTTAACCTATTTTAGCACACAAAAAAAGATGTAATTTTATTCAGTCAATTTCAATATATCAAAATATTTTTTATTTAAAAGGAAGTAAATACTTTGAAAATCATGATCATAAATTTATAACCATATTCTTTTAGAGGGTCTCATTTTTATCTATAGCTATTACTTTATTTATCTATTTCTCTAATATAGATTGTAATCTCTCATCCCTTCCTTAAAAAATACTAAATTTACTTATATTCTCAAAATAGCATGTAACATTTTTATCAGAAAATGCTTAAATTAACTTTTATATTCAAAATAGCAAGTAATTAATATTTTAGAATGATTTTTGATGAGAAAATAAATGCTGAATTAACTTTCATATTCAAAATAGCTAGTAATTAATTAATATTTTAGAATGATTTTTGATGAGAAAATAAATGCTGAATTAACTTTCATATTCAAAATAGCACGTAATTAATTAATATTTTAGAATGATTTTTGATGAGAAAATAAATGCTGAATTAACTTTCAT